ATGCCCAAAGCTTTGCGATTATTACTTTATATATTTATTCTTTAGCATTTGAGGTAAATCAAGTTTAATATTTACTAAAATGAGTATGTAAACAAATAATCGAAATTTTAAATGACCAAAATAAATTAAATTTAAAAAATTAAGGTTAGTTTATAATAAGCTATTTATTTATTATTATAAAAAAATGTGTTTGAAACAACGTTGCGTTATGCGGAAACTTGACTCCGAGCCTTTCTTATTATTTGTTTTCGCTTTATGCTATCTTGTATCAGATGGATTTATGTGGTGCAAAACTTCTTAGAAATTTTCAGGCCTTTATTACTGGCATCACAAGACGCAAAGATATAAATGAAAAAGAATTGGGAACAACTCAACTTTTGAGATGCCTTACTGCGCTTGATCTTGCAGCATTGGGTATTTTTTTAATTTATCTTATTTAATTAGGAATTGGCTCAACTCTTGGTGCTGGAGTTTATGTCGTTGCAGGAGAAGTTTCAAAGGAAGTAGCTGGACCAGGCGTTGTGATATCTTTCTTAATAGCAGCAATTGCTTCCGTTTTTGCTGGTTTGTATACTTATACAATATGATAATTGAAATTTTATGCATATTAAGAAATTTTAGTTTCAAAATGTGTGCATAGAATTCTTTGCCATTTATAGACTTTTCACTTTGCTGACTATATATTATAATAATCTACTAATAATCATTCTGTCTGTGATCTTAATTAATCTTTAGGATTTTGCTATGCAGAATTTGGGGCTAGAGTTCCTAAAACTGGTTCCGCATACGTATATAGCTATGTTGCTGTTGGCGAATTAATGGCATTTATCATTGGATGGAATCTCATACTAGAGTATGTCATAGGCAAGTTTACACATTGCCTTAGTAATACTTTTCATTTTAACTAATGATAATAGCAAATTAAATGTTTGATATAGGTACAGCTAGTGTTGCGCGGGCTTGGAGTTCATATTTTGATGGCATTATCAACGGAAAAATTTCGTCTTTTTTCAAGGAATATCTTCCACTACATCTCACCGGCCTTTCTGAATACCCCGACTTTTTTGCGCTTGGAATCACTTTTCTTATAACAGGTAAACTCTTTAAAAGGAACCATTTATCCATTTTTTTTCTAACAAAAATAGAGTAGCGTATGGATTCTAAACTATAATAATATGAAAATATGAGTCATGCATTTTTGTTCTATTCTGTACTATAGTTAATTACAGTATTGAATTTCATGCTTATATTTAACTTGAATTTTATGCTTTTCTAATAGCTAATAATTTGTAGAGATAACATATTATTGTTTCTCGAATTTTCATGAATCGATGGTTAAGATCCATACAAATTAATCTTCAATTTTATCTGCAACTATAGAAAGTTCAATCTAACTAAATCGAAAATACATAAATGTATATGGTTTGTTCATTAGAAAAAATTAATAGCACAAAAATTTGACCTTATAAAGGCAACAATCTCTTAATTATTATATAATCATAAAAAATCCAACCATAAATTGCATCTTAAAGTAAGCAATACTTTGCTCCATCGATACTCCCACAAAAGAATGTGATATGGAAAAATGTTTTGCCTTTTTTGAAATTTACATCCACCATATGACCCAAGGACACTCATACCAATGTGGCGGAGTGTTTAACGTGTCGAGCTCATGTGCTGCAGTTTCATTG